GAACGAGGACCTGTGCATACTCATTCTGCTTAACCACGACAACACTCACGGCCCCTGCTTTCAAGGGAGGGCCGTGCGAGTAACCAAGGGCTTATGCAGAAGGAAGGGTCCATGTTCATGGGGAGCAGGGGAGGAAGTTTCAGAAGCGAAGAGTCTGTCTCTGAGCTTGGAGTTCACTGGAAAACCCAACCAGGAGCATAAAAGGCAGCACTAAACGAGTATGTTCAGACGGAAGAGATGTCTTTTACAACTCTTCACACTCACTAATATAAGTTTTTAGGATTTTAATCTTAGATAGAGATGTCTTTAAAGCTGTCCAGGTAAATGCAATAAGCAGCAAGGCTGTATATGGAGGAGTGAAGTGATTCACAGAAATCATTCCACCTAAGTGGACCCCTCAGTTCGAATCTCTGGCTTCTATTAAGGAAAACACTGCAAGATAAGGCAGAGATTGCAACGTAACAAAAAATTATGAGCGTTGAATGCAAGTTTCTGTTGATTATTCAGAAGATAGTATCAAGGGGGACATAATTTACAGTTTGGATCCAGGAGGAAAAAATGTCTTAAGATGAACACCTGTGTATAAATGTTTATATTTGGTTTTTCTCCATTGAGTTTATTGGTACACTTTAGGTATACAGTATGATGACATTCACCCCTGGGAATTTGTACTTTCACATGATATATCTTGGCTCTTATTTTTAAAATGTTTATATTTGTATCATCTCTATCATAATGGCTTAGAAGCAAACAAGTTGTAACAGTGGATTCACAACTGTATGCATGCGTCAAAATGCCAAACACTGTGCAACACAAAGAATGAACTCTAATGTAAACCACGGACTTCAGTTAATGATATTCATGATTGTGACACATGCACCACACTAATGCATGCCATCGTTAGAAGGGGACACTGTGAGGGAGCTAACCATACAGGGAGTTTGCAAGAACTCTGTAATTTATGCTCAGGCTTTCTGTAAAACTGAAACTGCTCTGAAAAATAGAGGACTCTTAGGGGAGTGAGTGACCGTACAACAGTAGAGGAGACGGGCCCTTCCCGATCTTGTAGCCTGAACAGCACCAAGCACGAGCCCTGGTGCACAGCAGGGACACAGGCGGTCATCACGAGTCACTGCGGCTCATCCAGTGCTGGGACACGCACTACTTTGGAACAGGGCATCGGCGGGGGGGGGGGTTGTTGCACACCTGAGGACAGGGAGTGTTCGGCACAGGTCTCTACCTTTCTCTCAGTTCTTCCACAAACCCCAAACTGCTCTAAAAAGAAAGTCTGTTAACTAAACAAACAAACAAAAAATCTTAAGAACGTCTGAAGGGGACAAAAGACTGGCTAATTTGAGCACACAAAGAGAGAAATGATTCCATGTGTAGAGTGATGTGAATTAAGCTACCACCTAACAGGTTAGTTTATTATGGGATATTTTTAATTGAAATGTTATGTATAAGAAAACACCAGAAAATTAGAATTATTTTTTGCTCTGTAACTGAAGAAGACTTTAGAGATTGATAAACAGGTGCAGGTAAACTTAGAAATTAAGTAATTATGAAATCAGAACTTCAAATGATGTCAAGGAGAAGGGAAAACTGTATTCTGTTTTTACTGGAGCACAAACGAATGTATTGCAGTAAATATTGTGGGAAAACACCTCGTAGTCACTAAGGATGCAAGAAGAACTGTCCGGAGATCTCATGTACGTCACTGCACTGCAATAGATGCGCTATTACTAGATGTATCCCGTACTTAACTGGTTCAATTTATCTTATCCAGCGCCAATCTTATAGACGCTTTGAAGTTTCCAAAAGCTATTTCTTAAAAGCACAAATTACCTACTTTTGCGTGGGTTTAAAGCACAGGACAACAGAGCCCACCGCTCAGGACAGAGGTGGGCTCGCCTGGGATTCACAGGCCGGGAGGCAGCAGCAGCGCGCGTCCAACCCTTCCCCTGTACTTCCGGGCTGTAAGACCCTGAGCAAGTTGCTTACTTTCCCTTGGCCTCTGTTCCCCGTATGTAAGTGGGGTGACAGCCACGCAGGTTGGGCACCCCTAATCGGAAAGCTCGCAATCTAAAATGCTCCAAAGCCGGAAATTTTCTGAGTGCTCAGGTGATGACATCCCAAGTGGGAAATCTCACAGCCCAGATGCAGGTGTGATACTAACACAGTGTAAAATCCCCTCACCTCATGTGTGTGCAGGTGCGCACGAAACGTGAGTGAGTTCTGCATTCGGACTTGAGTCCTATCTCCAAGGTATCACTTTATGTGTATGCAAATATTGAAAAAAAATTGAAAAGTCCTGGTTCCAAGCATTTTGGCTAAGGGATGAAGTATCTTCCTCATGGATGAAATGAAGCAATCTGCACAATTCTCTTAATCAGAGCTGGCGTTCAAGTGTTAACTGTTATTTGTCCTAAGAAACCGATTTTAGGACACTGTGATTCCATGTCACTATGGGGTCCTCTAGGATGATCCCCTTAGTCTGATGGCAAGGTAGAGAAAGCTCTGCGGTTGTACTTCTAACCCTCTGGGGTCATTAAATATCTGTATATTCGTTTCCTCCACGGGATTGCCAGCTCAGTTACAGCAGGAGCCCAAGTTAGTCATCTTGCTAACAAAATATTTAAGAAAAATTCTCAAAATCAGGAACCATACTGATTTACTTCTTTTGGGGGAAGAAACTTTAATTTCAGCTAAAGTACATACTGAGGAACTGAAAACTTTTTCTTTTTAAAATCAAATAAAAGAATAAACCAGGTAACGTGGTGATCTACACTACTCTGGCCTAATAACATCACTGTATATATCAGCTTTTAAAATACTTGTGTCCTGAACTGTGTCCCACGAGGGGCCTCGTTTATACCAGAGCCTTCAGCTGAAATGCCACTGTTTTGAAGGCAGAGAAAACAACAACTTCAGGTTCAAAGCAGAAATTAACTGCAAGTTGAGATCCACATCATCTTCATCTGTCGAAAGTTCTAATTCACGATACAAGTTCCAGGTAACAGACTGAACCCATGCTCGTGGTTTTCCCAGCACAGGCAGTGTATGCAACCTTTGCTACTGTACCTGCAACTGAGATTTAGTCAACAAAGATGGGAAATAAAGGTTTATGATATTCGAAGAATCAATCAAATTTCTATTTTCATGTAAACTACTTAAAATAAACACTAATGCAGCAACTCAGAAAAATGCCCCAAAGAACAGAAGAAAGGCTCTAAATAGATAGCTTTTCCTAAGTTTCATGTTAAGCAATAGACATGTATTTAACTAAACTATTCTCTACTGAGACTATTAAAACAGCTTTGCTCTTGCTATCAGGATGTAATTTCAGATCCACTCGATTTCAAAAATTTGACTGAAATTCAAATTACAGATGTGGTTTATTTTAAATGGTGCTATAGGCACGATACAATATTTATGACAATCAGAACCCTGAAGTAGGTGGACTTCAGTGATTTAGTGGATAGTATTAAATCAGATACCAGACTAATTTCTTAGACATGCTCATGAAAATCTCTGGAATCATTTTGAAGCTTGATGATTGAAAAGTTTCCTGTTTTCTCATTCAATGATAACACAATTTAGATGGGTACATCTTTAGCATACAAGAGTCCTAGAAGTACAAGGCAGGAAAAACACAAAAAGCATCTAATCTAATGTCACTTTGAAAGTAAGAGAGCAAGCTCAGGATAATCCCAGGAATATAGTGGCGAGAGGCCCGAGCCCTGGGCTCAGACATCTGAATTACAGTTCCAGGTTGGCAAGTCCTTCACTGTGTGACCTTGGGAGAGTTATTTAACCTCTATAAGCCTCAGTTTCTTCACCTGTAAATACGGACAATAATTACACTAGAGTGCACTGAAATTACTCAGTAAATGTTAGCTGTTGTATTCTTATGAATAACGTATCCTAGGACAGGAAAGCAGCAACAGAACTAGAACTTAGTTTCATGTAAACACAAGACCTGGGATATAAATTCATCAAGCAGATGGGCAACCACTCCAGTTTTTGTTTTTTTTTTTTTTTTTTTTTTTTTTTTGCTACTGATCAAAATATTAAATTAGCGACTGTATAGAGAGGTTTCATTTTCATGAAGATTTGCATACATTAAGCTTTTCATGAGCAGTGCATATTTCATGTTTACCTTCTAAGTGTTTTAGTTCAACGATCTGCTCTCAAATATTTCCCACCAGAAGATGCTCATACAAAATTAATGAAAAGGTATCCTGGCCACAGATCAGAGTTAGGATTCATTTTCTTAAATGTGCCTCCGGTTAGTTGTTACACTAAGTCTTAAACTCTTACTGCAGCACCCTCCACACATCTGCTGCAGAGTGAGCAAGAACAAAGGACATGGGAAAGGAAAATGGCACAGATAGTACGAGTGAGGTCCGCTTTGGTTAAAACAGATTCAGGAACCCAGAAACCGCTGAACACAGACGGTGGGAAAGGCCATTTTGTTCAACATTCATGCCCTTCCGTTTCATTTCACTTAGAGCTGAATGTTTCCCTTGTATTCAACAACAACAACAACAACAACAACAACAACAACAACAAAACAATCAAATGATTAAGAAGTCACACGAGAAATATTAGCTTTACAGAAAATCTTCCCAGTATTTGACTGTATTTAGCTAATTTGTAGTCTTAACAATAAACATTCCCAGACTGTCAAGTGAGCGCTTATAACAGTTCCTTGATATAAACTAAAGATAATTTTTCTCTTATCCTGGAGAATGATCAGTGGATCTACACTACTCCAGTCTCTTAAAAAGAATTAAGAGCAAATGTAATATGGTATAAGAGCATTCGAGAGAAGCCCAAGCACAAACACGAACAAAGCCAGAACACCTTTTTATATAACTCCAGTATGATTCACCAGACCAACAGATGAAGAAAATAGTAATTTGAAAGGTGGCATTTTGCATCCGTACCCGGTATTTAGCATTTCAGTGACTAGAAATAAATTAGTTTGGCAAACTTACCCGCATTTTTGCACAAGCATCTTGAGTCGATTCGGTGCCCCTGAGCTCTTTTATCAGCATAGAACCTAAATACTAAAATACAAAGGAATGATTTATAAAAAAGCAGAGTCTAAAAATGAGTCATGATTTAAAAACAAATGCGGAACCACGACTGGCTAGGCTTCCAGGCTATAAGCCGTCAATAACTTTATAAACCTCACAGTAACTAACCCTTACAAATAAATGCATTTATAGAGCAAATGCAGCACAATTAACCATAAGTTTTGGGGGCTGTAAATTGCTCTCTATAATGAAACTGCAGCATTTTCTAAAGATGCTATCTTTCAAATCATATTTAACTGCAAAACGGGGGCATCTAAAAATGTTTTCCCTTATTTTATTTTTTTTTGAGGCAGCAATGTCTGCAAAAATAAATCACACTACTATCTGTGTAATTACAGGGTTGTGTGAGACAGCTGAGGACAGAAGCAGCATGCCTTCCATTTGGGCTTATTTGGCAGCATAGGTAATTAACGTTAGGCTGCCCGTAGGCGAGACGCAGTTCTGGACCCTTTTCACCCACAGCTGCGTGCCCTGTGGCTGATCCACCTGAGATCAGGCTGGGTGGGGGCGGAGGAAGAACGTCACTGAGTCTCTGGTAGAGTCACACAGTCACAGTGGAGGGCTGGGCGGAAGCAGGGGAGGGATCAGGATGTTTCCTCCCAGGAATTATCAGGCCCTTCACTGTTAAGGGCCTGGGACCAAAGTCACTTTGGTAAACAGCATTTGCTCTCCTGCTTCTGGCTGAGGGAAAATTGTTTTGTTTTGTTTTGATTTTTGGTTTTTTGAGAAAGGGCCTCACTATGTAGTTGAGACTGACCTGGAACTCACTATGTAGCCCAGGCTGGTCTCCAACTCACAGCGATCCTCCTGCCTCAGCCTCCCAAGTGCTGGGATTACAGGCGTGCGCCACCACACCCTGTGCAGAATGGTTGTGAGTACAATGCCTGTGTTGCCTTTTTATCAGTGACTCCTCATCAACCTTTTGAAGCTTCAACAGGGCTCTTTCTTTTTATCATCATTCCCTTCCCCAATAAAGAAAGACTTCTGTATATCTTTTTAAAAAGTGAATAAAATAATTATCTTAGAGAGGTCTGAAGGCCCCTTCCAGACTTTGCAGAGAAGGGAATCAGCACTGTGGACCAGAGAAGCCAACGGCTTGGAGAGGAGCAGAAGGCCTGGTCCAGGGCACTGAAGAAAGGCCTGTTCAGAAACGTTCGGGGCTTTGAGGTCTGAACTGCGGAGGGAAGCCCTTTTGAGTGATTACTGTTGAAAGAAATCCAGTGCTGACAGATGAGCAGGCAGTAAAGGAGAAGACAGTACAAGCCCCAGTTACCAGAAGATAACCAGAACGCCCAGATTCTAATCGAATTAAGGAAAATGATCTTGGTGAAATTCTCATCTTTTAAGTGATCAGGAAATTTTGCCCTAACTGAAATGTTTCAAGAGAGATGGTTGAATGTGCTGCCAAGAGTTTAGCCATTTTTGCTGCTGTAGTCATGACAACCACCACCTGCCCCAAAGCCTACAGTAATTTGAACATTTACCTGTCCAGATCACTCGGCTAAGCCTTCTGTTCTAAAGAGAACTGAGAGGGAGAAAAAACAAAACCAAACCCAACAATCAAAAAATCTACACCAGTAATAGAACCCTACAGATGACAATGAAAGGAATTAGCTATTTACATAAAGTGGTGGACTCAGTGTTCTGAGATCGTTGATGAGTGAGGATGAATATATGTGCTGTATTTATACTCTTTTCCACTTTATTTTACTTATGTATATTTTGCAGCACTGGAGACTGAGCCCAGGGCTTTACCCATGCTATGCAGTACTCTACCAACTCCTCATTTCTATTTTAAATTGTGGTTGTGCTTAACCACATCTTGTTTGAAGCACACAACTCTGTAAGAGGGCAAAACAGACCATGAACTGAAAGACTTAAGCTATAAGAAAACTCTAGTCAGTCAGACTTTCTTCGCACAGAATGCTACTTAAAGAAACTGAGAAGGGAGAAAACACTTTAGGAATTGCAGCAACGGACATTTTGGCACATTTTCACTGTAAGCGCAAAGCCCCCCCCCGAAACACGCCCTCTTTCCCCCACTTGTACCCAAATACTGGATCCACAGCAACTTACAAAAGCCTTGTAGTCGCAGGACTGGAAGATGAGCTTTTCTGGGTGATGCTGCCAGTACTGTACTGGAGTGGAGGCTGTGGCTTCGTTTGGAGGTCGCAAGGTGATAGAAGGCTCTCCCCAGTCTCCTGTCTGAAAACGACATTTATTCTAGGAGCAACCTGAGCCACTGGCAAAGTTCATTTCCCCGCACTAGCCTGCGTTTGTCTTGTACAGGTGTGCTATATGTGCAAATGCATCAGGAGTATTACATGTGTCCATAAACATTGCTACTGGTCATTACATTTTTTTACATGTATTAGCATCATATTTCCAAAAGTTGAATTATTCTATTTTAGGAACATCACCCTAAGCTAAGTAATTTTAAAATATAGCATGAAGACATTAATGGTTTATTATTCATAATTTTCCGTTACAACAGAAAAGAACATAGCATCCTTGAGATAATTTTGTTTTTAAACCTGATTGGAATTTTTAAATTGCTTTTACAGTAGAATAAACAGTTTCATAAAATTCAGTCCCCAAATATGACACGTACCAGGTACTTTGAATACTTTTCTGGCTCTGGAGAAATGGTACTGTAAGTATGATACCAAATAAAACGTTAAAGGAGACATTTGCTAAGGGGTGATGTTAGTTTCTCTCATTCGATTTCAGCTGTACTGACAAAGGCCCACTGTGATCGCTACCTTCCTCGGAAACCCTGAATGCCAGTGCCAGGCGGGCTCACAGGTGCCCATTTCATACTGAGAACCCTGACTCACAGATGCAAGTGCGCTTGCATGTGATGGTCCAGTGTGTGACATAAAGGCCTGTTAAGACACCCCAGAGAATCACTTGCCAGGACGTTAGCCTCCACGTGTCTTCCTACAGTCGGGGTGCAGCGTGAACATTTATAAAGCCAAAGTCCTTGTCCACAGGTCCCTCCTGGGATCTGACCTGGTTGACACGTCACACATGGAATATTTCTTACTCTTCTTCCTGGCAAAGATTCTGATGTTTCAAAAGTCTGTCCTCTGTTCTCAGGACATAATTAAAACTACATTATAGGCAGATCTCCAAAGCCACTCTCTTCTAAATTGAATTTGGTGGGCTTTACTTTGTAGAATGATGAGACATTGCTTTGCTCAGGCATTAGCAGAGAGTAAACAGGTTTCACGAGGCTCCAAAACCTTGGCTACAGACCCATGCCACAGAGTGAGCAGCAAAAGGGCCGAAGCACTGTGGGGAACCTTCAGGAAGATTTTCAAGGAGCCCAGAATGCAAAACTGGAATATATGTTTTTGGAGGGAAAGGAAGTTTGCAGCTTTCATTAGAATGTTTGAAAGGACCTAGGAAATACAAAAGGCTAGGGACCACAGGCTTCCAGGAGGGCTCAAGGAGGGACACGCCTGTGCAGCTGCGACTTCGATGGGGGTGGGACACTGCGTAGCTGCCAAAGACAGAAGCGGAGGCAAAGGCCTCACCTTCTGGAAATTTCTAACTGGCTTTGAAAAAAAGAGAAGAAAAATTCTGGAGTCCATCAGGAACACCCAGGCTCTTCCACACACCAGAGGCCCGAGATGCGTGTCTTGCAGGTGGACGCTTCCAGGGACAGGAGGGGCCCAGGTGGTACAACGGACGCTGTCTGTCTGTGGCCTCTCACTGGAGTCCGAGCTGCCTCTCTCTCGGTTCTCAGCTGCTACTCTATGCTTCTTTTGTTCTAGTTGTTGATTCACTTGTATATCGCTTGACCCTCCTATTCCGTATCTGTTGATATTTTTAAGACTTTACATGTAATATTAACATTAGCATTTTTCTGTTTTAAGACCATCCCTGATTTACATTTGAATTTTTCTCTTTATATTTATTTAAATTTTTAAGAGCAGTAACCAATTTTTCTCTGGCTTCTGATTTTGATTTTTAAGAGTTTCTTTCTCCTGCAAGTGCATCTTTATTATCTTTTTAGTCTTTATTTCCATTGTGATTTGCTCTTAATATAACAGTATAAGCTTCAAAATGGAGGACTGTAGAGGTTGTTATTTTGAAGCTGAGTGTAATAACCTTTAAGTGATAATAGCTTACAACACTGGAAATACTGCAGCTAGAAGTTTTTCAGTAAAAGCTCTTTCCAAATGTAGCAAATCATCCTCTAATTCCCCCATTATCCCCCCACCCCCCGCACTCAAGCAACAACAACACAGCGGACAGGTATTGTACACTTAAGTCACAGGTGACACTGTCACAGTCACAGGTGACAGAACAACAGAAGTTTGCACGCAACTCCGTGGAATGATACAAGAGGAAGATCTGGGTGACGTCAAAAGATCGTTTAAGCCAGTGTCCACTGAAGTGCCAACCAAACCAAGCAACAGGTCTTCATGTCAGCCCTATTCTGGTTTAGCTGAGGTATACCCCGGCCGAGCTCAACAGACAGGTTTCAGAAAGCCTGAGCAGACATGGCAGGGGCTGGGGTACCGAGGACTGCGGGGAAGAGCTGGGATTAGGGTGGTGGATAGGAGTGGGTGCTGTGAAGCTGGGGGTGTGGGAACGTTTCACAGGTTAGTAATTAAGCATGCAAATCATATGCAAATTCATTCTAATTGTTCAGTTAACTCACGCACTTTCATAATTAAACTTTAATGTAACTTAAAGCAGAACTACAGCCAAATGCCGATCCAAATATTTACATCGTCCACAGAAGTAGGAGCAGCCATTTGGGGAATAACATGCTCCAGCACATACACGTTCCATCCATGTGGAAATTGAGGTCCTTCATTTGCTAACCACTTGCAGAGACTGGTAGCACCTCCATCTATCTACCTTTCTACACGGCAGCATCATCTGCTCTCCTGTCTCTACTTTGTCCCCAAAGCACAAACCACCTGGTTTGAATCCAGAATGGTCTGACAGGAGCTCCCTTCGATGCTATGGGGGAAGATGCCTATCGGAGAGGGAACTATATCATTCTTACTGGATTTTCTGTGAGGCCTTGAAATATTGTTCCAGTCCAGATATTTAAAATTCCCTCTAGGGACTGAGTTGGACCCAGATTTTGTCACATTCAGTGCTATGTCCAGAAATTCATTTTCAGAGGGAAAAAAGTGTTTTTAGGTGAATTTATAAGAAAATTAATTTCTTTTCTTCAAGTCCATTAATCTCAATCTCAGATCTAAGATATGGGAATGTTAGCACACTCATTGTGTAGACATTGTGTTTTCTCTTTGGAATTAATTTAATGGAAATGGCGAGTCCCAGCAGCTGGAACTAACACCACACTCCTGTTAAGGACAGGAGTGACTTTGGCTCGTGGCTGGGATTCAGCTCTACCCTGGTTGACTGCCAGGAAAGACAGGAGTTCAGAGAGCCAGGCTGCCTTAGGCCTCAGACCTGCTGGAGGTGGAATTCCAGCAGGGATGAACAATACAGGAGTTTGGTAGAGAGGTTATGATAAGGTGTGGTGGAAGAGACTGAAAAATAAACCATACATCAAATAATTTTGAACTGTGAAGCTCTGTGTTAGTGCCTGAAGAACACATGTATGGCGTCTGCGTTTTCCCAGGCAAACATTATAGATCAGGTCTAATAATTTCCCACTTTAAAAAGCATACAGTTCCAAGAAGTCTTTCACCTCTAATAATGGTTTATAATCAAAATTTATCTTTAATGAGAAGTAGACCTCAACCGGGTTAACAATGATGCAGTAATATTTAACTAGAATAACAAGGTGAAGCAGAAAATGTTTGGGGTAGAATTTTGCCATTTTAAACATTATTATCAGGGTCAGGATATAGTTCAGTGGCGCTGAGCTTGTCTGGCAAGTGTAAGGTCCTGAGTTCAATTCTCAGGATAGGTTAAAAAAAAAAATTACCAACATAGCAACCTTTACAGGACTTCCTTCAGTAATATTAGAAGTGAAATCAAAATGATTCAAGAAACTTTTAATAAGTGTCTTCAGGCTATTTCTTTAGCACTTAAAATTCTTAGAGAAAATCTTTCCTTTAGTTTAGTGTATATAAATAAACAATATTCTAAGAATTTGGTCATGGCTTAAAGCCCCATTTATTTGGCATTTAAAAAAATGTCTGGTTTAAGGCTTTTTCAGTGTTTTATAAATACTCTAAGGGCCATCAAATAGCATGGAATGTACCTCATTGACTAGCTCTTCTAATGTAATACAAATTAGCTTTCTAATTTGAGATCAGAATTTTAAGCAGAGCGTTCATTCTGTCTAACAGGTACTTGCCAACTACTAATCAGAAATTCACAGTCAGGCTGAGTTTGAAAGACTGCAATATAGAACATATATATATATATATATAATGCAATTAAATAAAACATTACCTTATACAAGCAGCTTAAAAATAAAGCCATTAAGTGAATTTAGTGAAAATTGACAGAGTCTATAGATAAAATTTTATTGGATGGCAGAGTCCAAAACGCAGCTTCTAAACTCAGCACTGTTTCAAAAGGTGGTAAACAGCTACCAGTTTTCTGGTTCATCTGACCAGAAAGCTAAGGCAAATTCCAAAATTTCAAAACAGATCAGATGGGGTAGCTTTTTCTCCAAAAGGAAAACTGACTATTACATATTCTATAGGCTCTAAGAATACAAAAGGGGAAATAGTCTCTATATTCTTATTTTTTTCTTTAGAAAAAGATTTCCTAAGGATGTCAGTAAATAATTAAAAATCAGTGGTCATGACTCAGCTTTCTTTCTTTTTTTTGTGTGTTTTTTGAGACAGGGTCTCACTATGTAGTTGAGACTGACCTGGAACTCACTGCGTAGCCTAGGCCGGTCTCGAACTCACAGCCATCCTCTTGCCTCAGCCTCCCGAGTGCTGGGATTACAGGCGTGCGCCACCACACCTGGCCATGACTCAGCTTTCTAACATTAACAGAGTAGTTTCCAAGCCTTGTAGTATTCTTCTCAATTTTTTAAAAATTAAGATTTAATTTATTTTTTAAATAGAAGCTTTTGAATCTTTTCTGCTAGGAACTGATCTCGCCTACTTTCTTGTAAATTTAGATCTGACTATGAACAAACACTATTCTGTCTTCCTTCAGAAAGAACACTTAATGAAAAACTAAAAGTGATTTTAAATGACAATTGTTGCTTTAAGGTTTTACTTTCAATGATTCTGACAAATTTCAGAGATGGGCTATGCAAACATACACAGGATATAGGTGATTATGTTTGTCCTCTATGATCTCTAAGGTTTTGAAGAATGGTCCATGTAACTCTATGTTTATAGGTAAATACATATACTTGGATACGAATGTAAGAGAAGGTCTCCAACAAACGTTCACACACACAGGGCCCTACAGTAGCTCTTTTGAAAATGCTTTAAGGATAGAGAATGTTAGTTTGGACAAATGCTGGAGTTTGGACCGAATCTGTTCTTTTGATGAAGAGCAGAGATGGCCACGTCTGAACTCATGAGAGCTTTAGGGGGCACCTGTGAGTTCAGGAGGAGCTGCAGAGTCCCAGGCACTGCACAGACACCAAGGTCCTCAAGAACCAGGAGTGCCATGCACAGGAGGACACGTGCCTCATACCGCACCCCAAAGAGGCCCTGCGCATGCCGCCATAGGAACCTGCTCAGTGATTCTCAACCAAGTATCTCGGTCGCTCAGACAGCAGGTCAGCCAATGGGAAAAGTTTCACCAGATGTGACAACAGGGTTGTATTTTAAAATGTGAAACTTAAACTACATTAAAATGTTTACTTTCCAAGAAAGAATGGTTTTTACTTTGAGACAGAGCCATGCTATGTAGTTCAGGCTGACTTTGAACTCAAGATGTAGCCCAGGCTGGCCTCAAACTCACAAGAACCCTCCTGCCTCAGTCTCCCGAGTGCTGGGATTACAAGTGCGCACCACTGTGCCCAGCAAATTTTTCTAAAGTATGCAGAAGTGAAATATTAAGCAGCTCAGAGTAAAATGGGTCTCAATTTCATGTACATTCTGGAGATCAATTCAGAACTGTCAAATGGAAAAAGGCTGAGAACCACCTAATGCCTCTCCCAGGTTCTCCTCCTCCCATATTTGCATAAAATGTATATGGAATATCATGCAAACCATACTGAAGAGTTCCTCACAAGTGAAGCGCATGAATGGTTGAAAATCATTGTACACAAAAGGTCGACTGGCCCATGGACATAGGGAAATACGAAATGGGCAAGGATAACACTGATATATACATATTCATATATATATATATAGATAGATATAGATATAGATATATAAATATAATATATATATATATCAATTTAGCCTTTTCCTCTTTCCTGCAAAAGCAAGTCAACACGGATGCCTGGAATGAAAGCCAAAACTCACACAGACAGATTACAATCGCAGGACCAACTATGCTTCTCATTTCAGGACAATGTTTACACGTCAACTCGCCACAGGGCACAGGAAATGAAGTGTCATAGACCAAAAAAGAAAATAAAAGTCTCAGAAGGCACTAGACGTTACAGATTTCCTGCACTGTCAGGACACAGCACCTCCAGCTGTTGACAACACTCTGCAACATACCACACAGCGCAAGTTCAGGAAGAGAAAAGAACCACTTGTAGCCTTACATTATGAACCTGGTGCATCGCTGAGAAAGGAAATCCAGCGTTCTGATTCGTCCATATCTCACAGACAGACGACTGCTGAGATAAACAGAAAACCATCTCATCTTGTCAATATTTAAAACATGGCAGCTACCGAGGTAGCATCCAGGAAAGGAAGGAGGAAAATAAAATATAAGAATCACATTTCTTAGGAAAAAAAAAAAAAACTTAAAAGAATGTTTTAGGGTTCAATGGTTTGATAATTGCTTTTCAAATCATTTCTCTTGCTTAAAAATATTTTGGATCAGCTAAGGGGAAAAAAAGATGATGTATTCATTAGTGTTATATCAAGGGAAGTTGCCAATAAATTCACATCTCAGGAAAAGCAAATGACTGTGTTTTACACTAGCCATAAAGAAGGGCAATGCTTTTTCCTTCTGCATGTTGTTACTTTCAGAGTGATAGCTAGTAAAATATTTCATTAGGTTCAAGAAAGATGGGGGAAAAAAATCTTTAAAACAGGTCACACATTTTAATTTTCTTATTTTCAATGCGCAAGAGTAAACAAAACAATATGCATAACTTTCCTGATTTAGTAACTGCTCCACTTGGTGGACCTAAAAGCTGTTTATGCCTCTGGGGTTGTCTAGGGCAAACTCCGTGGCTAACAAGCTAGGCAAGGAGGTGGTGGCAGGAAGAGGTTGGAGGCCTGAGGACCACAGCATCTGAAGTCCATTGAGTCAGCTCCGTAGTTCACGCTTTCCACCATGAACAATGAGTCAGTAATGTTTGTTCCAGATTAAATGCCAAAAAATTTTTTGGGGGATACCAGGGATCAAACTTGGGTCCTTGACCTTGCAAGGAAGGCGGCAGAAACACTGAGCTAAATCCTCAGCAAAAAACCAAATCTTATTGGTAGGTAGTCATTATTATTTTTTGGTACCGAGGATCAAACTCAGGTCCTTGAGCTTGCAAGGCAGGTGGCAGAAACACTGAGCTAAATCCCCAGCAAAAACCAAATCTTATTGGTAGGTAGTCATCATTTTTTTTTTTTGGTACTGGGCATCAAATTTAGGACCTTGCACTTGCAAAGCAGGTAGCAGAACCACTGAGCCAAATCTCTGGCTAGATACCAAATTAACCAACACTCCTTCCTGGGATCACAAGCAGAAACCACCAAGTAACTCGATAGGCTTTTGGCATGACCTTTCCTGAGTTCTTTTCCTGAATGCCATCATTCTAAAAGACACCTTGAAATTGAATCACAGGAAATGGCAGAGGGGCAAAACTCACTCAGCAAGCACTGTGAGCATCCCCAGAGTTCACAAGTGGATGGACAAAGATCATAAGCATTTGCTCACAATACGGCTCAGAAACCCAGCAAACACACTAGGGAGAACTAAGCCTGTCCCTGGTTAAAAGTCCCCTCTCCCCCAATTCAGCATCTCTCTCCAGTTAGTACAGTGTGTCCACCTGTACCTGCCCTTGCTGTCCAGCCTTCTGGACCCTGCACTGTGGACAGGCTGGTAACTGCCCCTTGGTAAGGAAGTCAGACCCTGGGGTCTGACCAACAGGCACCTCCAACTGCCTCTCACTTCCACCTGCTCTCTCTCTGAACTTCATACCATTTTCCCCACAAGGGGGCCTTCCTCTTCCGACCTTCCAGATACTAATTTTGTATCAAGTCAAGGACCCTCTGCTGACACCAAAATCTAAGAATGCTCAAGCTCCCCCTATATAGAACGGGACAGTATTTGCCTAAAACCTGTGTGCATTATCTGGTATATTTTAAGTCATCCCTAGATTACTTCTAACATCAATTATAGTACCTCTACTACACAAAGTCTGTATTTTTTTAAGGGACCAATGAAGAGGAAAAACAGTGTACACACGTTCAATCCAGACAGAATTTCTTCCAAATGTTTTTAACTTGCAGTTGGTCGAATCCGTGGATGCAAAACCCAAGACAGACTGTTAAACACGCTGGGTCGGATCGCCATTTTCAGTGGCACTAACTGCATCGCTAAGGGTACCCTGGGCCCTTTCAGCACAATCACCCACAGTCTGAGCCGATTCCTCTGCAGCCCCGCTCCTAGGCCTTTCACATCCTTCTAGGGCAAGCTGTAACCCACAGATGACCTGCCACTGGGCAGATGAGAAAAACCAGTGTTTGGAGCGGTTCTATGGCTCGCTCAGCCACAGAGGGGAGAGGCACAGGCTCCAGCTGGCTGGGCTGGCTGGGGAGGAGAACAAGTTGGTGGCAACTTCACCAAAAGGCAAAGGGAAGCTGTACTTACAGGGACCTTGTTTTACTGATCCTGAAGCAAGTCCACCCGCCCGGGGCTGCAGGATGAAACGATTCAATCCCACACAGGTCCAAACACCTCAGTGTTTTATTGTTTTCCAGTCGTTCCCCCTTAATGGGCCATGCAGCCTCTCACCCTGATGGGCCCAGACCACTTAACATTTTGGGTTGATTTTGGTTACTCTGAGTCACAAACACTCCCTTTGTATAAAACCCAGCTCAGATTGGATTCTGACTTTTCCCCTTCCTCATCCCGGGCCAGTTGTGGGGCTTCAGACACCCAAGGTGGTGAGAGAGGCAGGGGTGGACTTTGTCTATTCCTTGGAATAGAGGTGGGGTGGCTCAGCCCCTTCCTGGATGTCCCTCAGCCATCTCTTCCTCCTTCCCGTGTATTGTTGGTGGGGGAGGGCAGAGGGGAAGGAGAGGGCATCACGTTAGGTGTGGTGGGAGGAGGGTCAGCCACTCCAGCCTCCTGCTGCATGCTCAAGCAGCCCAACCTGGCCTGTGTGCGTCGTGGTCCTGCAGGACTGTGGAAGGGCAGGCTGCTCTGCCGGCAAGCCCCTGTCTGCTGGGACTTCCCTCTCCAAGTCTGTTAGGCTGAGAAGGTGCTATGGCCACCTGTCTGCCAGAAGTCCAGCCACTGAGAGGGATGCTGGTTTCTCCGCCTGGCAGGCACTAGGTTTAGAAACCCAGCAAAGAACAGTAACATCAACAAATGAACTATGGAAAAGAAAGCTTATCCCTGGTTAAATGTTTCCTCAACTGCTATACCCCCAGGAATGCTTGCCTGAAATTTAGCACGTCTCTCCACATACCACAGCATGTCCACCCAGTCCTGCCCTCTGGAAGTCTAGTCATCTGTCATCTGGATAGCTTGCTGTGGGGATGAGATCCAGTCCTTTCCTTGGGGACCCAGACAACTCTAGTCTACACCAGCACCAGCTGGTCCTCTGCACATAGTGGACAGGTGGCTGACCATGGCAGGACAGGACTCACTACTTCTTGATAAACCCTGAACAGGGGACTCACTCCACTGCTGGGAGCTTTCTCTGGAGAGCGTGGTAATTTCTGCCTCCAGGACCATTCCCACTCAGCAGGCTGTTATGCAAATGGCTCTTCCCACAGTCACAGATCAAAATTAGAGTTAGGGAGGAAAGACAGGATCGGATGCCTTACTTATTTTATTTTATAAAATCCCTCATCTCAATGAAGAAACCTATTTCCTCATAACCATTTATGCCAAAGAGAGTCGATACATGGCTTCTACACATTTTTAGAAGTCAAAGTAACTATTTTCCATTGATAAGCTGTGTCTTAAACACAGGAAAAAAACCTCTATAATTTCTGATAGTTGTATGAGTCAGTGCAAACGACAAGGTTAGATTTTTTCAAGACGGATTAAAATAAAGGCAGTTAATTTAGTTTTTTTTTTTTGGTTATGAAAAAATTTAAAGTGGATACAGTCTGATATCCCAGTCATTTTCTGGCAGTAAATAACTGACCAGGTTTACAGAATAGCAAGGTTGGGTAAACCAGCAGTCAACTGCTGTGCTCCTCAGGTAAAATGATCCTTTGGGCACTGGGAAGAATTTTTAAATGCAAAAGTTTCAACTGTGGAAATACATTATATTTATGAAGACACTATTTCAAGGTACAGTATGTACCAAGGCACTGAGTTTTGAAAAGTTTTGAGAAAGAAAATAGAACTACCAGTGATAAAATCTCAAGGTCCGAGTTCCTAGAACAGCAGTAATTTAAATCCGAGCTTTAATGAGCCTGACAACGTCTTCATCTGCAAAGAAGAAAAGTTCCTGACCTATTTATTTTGGCAGGTTGTTTCACAGCTCAGACAAAGCAAACTTTCACAGTTAAGCTTGTGGGGCCCAGAACACAGAAGGCCCTCAGACACGTTTACTGAACGTATGGAATCTGCACACTAGCTAAGCGCCCTCGGGGAATGGCAACACATTATACCAACGTTCGTTATTTGTCATCATTTGTAAACGGTCCACTTTATTGTTGTCACTCATACCGCTGGCAGATGTCGCTGCCAACACTTTTGGTACAAGCACCAGAATGTAACCTTGCAGACTTCTTGTTAGAAGATTCCTCATTTTTCCTGATCAAGGCTGGCAGAGGGCTTCCAACCTTGTTGAAGAGAGAAGGAACATTTGTCATTAGCGCGCCTCTATGTCAGGAGGCTGCTTGTAGACGGCTTGGGAATGATTCTGTAAAAGAATGTTAATCACCCATGTGTTATTTCACCTGCTTATTCATATACTCTCAGTCTTCCTTCCAGATATACTGCAAAGGCTAATTTCAGTATGTGAACCTGAATTACTATGAAATCCAGACAAACAGGGGTTAAGATACGGTGTCTTGAAACTATTATATTGTCAATAAGCACAAACAGTTTATTAGTGATAATAGTGATAGTTACTAGTAGTACAGAGTAACGAGTTTCATTTTGGCTTACTGGTACATGCACAGAACATACTCTGATTATTTTCATATCCTCCTCCTCTGCCTTCTTCCCCTAAGCCCCTTCCTCATCTCTAACAGTCTACCTCCACTTTTCCGTCATCTCTCCTTTGTCTTCAAGATTCCTCCTATAAAAGAAACTACGTCATTATTTAACCTTCTGAGTCTGACTTATTTTGCTCAACATGATGGTCCCCAGTTCTATCCGTTTTCCTGTAAACGGAATGACAGAATAATATCCCACTGTGTACAGGTACACCACATTTTCTGGATCCAATCACTTGGACGGGTATCTAGAGATCTCCACAGTCTA